AAAAGAACGAGGAAAAACAAGAAGAGATCGAGCGAGCACCGCACGAAAGGGCACAAGCGCCGCTTGAAGTATGCAGGATAGGTGCTGAGGTGGAATTGGAATGTGTTTGGCAGGGCTGAGTGCCATATGTTGTGTTAACGTTGTTGTTATCCTGTGTCACAACTGTATGTCGAGTGGGCCAAAATTTTTGTTACGGTGATGTGATGTATAGTATTGTACAATTGTTGTAAAAACAAAACTTTGTACGTTTGTATTGTTTGGAATATGTGATGTAGTGTTGTACTCATGTACCCGTGGCTATATTCTATGTGTTGTGAGATTGAATTGCAATGTACAATTGTAATGAGTGATCTATTGTGAATGTGTCGTGTCATGAGCGACGGACTATGTTATAGTCTTTGAGAGTGTGGGGACGGTTCGCACTCGTTTGTGTGGTTTTGAATATTATGAGATAATATTCTTAAAGTGGGGGGCTGTGTCACAAAACGAGCGCAGTGTCACAAAACGAACCACCGCCCCGGGGCGTCGTGACACCGCCCGGGGCGGTGGACGCCGATCGCTCGGTAAGCTGCTGTGTGCGGCGAGCGATAGGGCCACCTCACAGAGTGGACGTCTCCTCGCGGCTGCCTCTTCTGCGCCTAGGCTGGGTGCTGGGTGGATGCTGGTTGTTGCCGAGCGACTCATTAAGCCTAAGGCTCTGCGCAGCCGCCTGTCGCACTTGGCACAACTAGGTGGATCGTGGCGTTGAGGTGTTGCGCTCTGCTTCCCTCACTTTTTTTTTTCTTGTGAGCACGAGTTAGGAAAAGTGATTTTTGTTTTATTTTGATGGGCGTCTCGGCCGCCACCGATGTATTAGCTAGCAGTACTGACCAACGTACCACGTGGACGAAAAGCTCCAAGCTCCCTTCCCGAGGACCTGCTCGATTGTTTTCTTTCAAGTTTTCTTGTTGTTATTGATGTATTCAGCGGGAGGGATGTCATCCACGGCCGGCTGTCCTGCACTAGTCCGCGTCGCTGGCCAGGAATGCGGTCGTGAGGTCGGGCGAGGGAGATGCTTGGGACCTGCGCAACTGCCTGCAGTCAGGCGCCCTCGCGAGTGCTGGTCGCAACTGGAAGATGTGTCGGCGCTAGCGACAGATCGTCGCGCCGACGGCAACGTTGCTGTTGCGGGGCCGGTACTGAGGTGACGTCTAGCCGGACAGTGCAGCAGTATCGACCAGCGGCGGTGTCGGGGTGCAAGGACATTATAATCGTGCGATATCACTTTTTTCATTAAAGCTTGTGTAGCTAATTTTTGATTTCGGGATATGGTTTGATTTAAGGTTGAGAAAATGTGGGGGTGCTGACAACCCCCCTGTAAAGTTGTCTGCGCCGCGTGGCGCACGTGTCTCGCCCCAAGGCTTTATTTCGGTGGTGACCACCGCCGGGCGATAGATGGCGTTGTGTTCGCTTTGAGTGCCACTGTTGGTAGAGTAGTAGCGCCGGCGGTGGCCCCTGGCGGAAGGCAGGCCTTGGTGGTGGGCGAGGGTTGAGCGAGCCTCTTCTGGGCGTGGCGGCTGCCGCGAACGGTTGTCTGTAGCGTGGGTCCCCGGTGCTCAGCACCGCGAGCTTCGCGCCGGGGTCCCACGTGGAAAGTCATTCGCGCCGGGGTCCCACGTGGAAAGTGAAAGCGCCGGGGTCCCACGTGGAAAGTGAGAGCGCCGGGGTCCGACGTGGGTATGTGTTAGTGTGTGTTTATCATGTTATTGTGTGTTTAGTGTGTCATTGCGTTATGTTGTTTGTATGGTAGCGTGTTAATTAAAATTGATGTATCATTCAGCAGACGATATTGTCGTCTAAATTAGTTAATGAATGTATGTATGTTGTGTGCTTTGTACCGACCGCGTCTGCTGTGTCCGTTCACTCCAAGAGCGTGGCCTGGCGCGCGTTCGCCTCACGGAGACCCCACACGGTGAAGGTTTTATCCTTAGTGACAAAGCAGGAGAAGAAGAAAGTATGCGCCAGAGTGTGTAGGGTGCTTCGCCGTGTCGTCGGCGAAGGTTTTGTCCTCAGTGACAAAGCAGGAGAAGGAATTTCACGCCAGAGTGCGTAGGGTGTTCCGCCTTGTGGGCGAAGCCTTTTGTCTTCCGTGACAAAGGAGAAGAAGAGGATTTCCACCTGAGGGGTGAAGACTCATGCTACAGGCAAGAGTGTGTGTCTACCGCCAGCGAGCGAAGACGTGTGGCAACAGCTGCGTGTAGGAAGCCGACGTGTTACCGGCAAAGAAGTTGGGTGCTTGGAGAGCGGCCAATTGAAGACGCGAGGTTTTCTGGAAGAGAAACTTCGGGGGCAGCGGAACGACAACAACGCTGGACTTTGAGTGAATGATTCTCGGAAGAGTATCATCCAGACTTTTCTTCCAAGAACTTTGGACTGCATAAGTTTTCTAACTCTTTAGTCTTTAAGTGTCTTGGTTGTTTGATGCATGCGACTGCATTGTAGTGCGTATTGTTGTCTGTGTCCGTGTTTCGGGTGTGGCTGATTGTACTGTGTAGTACGTTGTTTGATTGGTGACATATTGTATTCAACTATTGTCGTGTGTGCATCGTTTTGATTTGCCATAATTGAGAATATAATTTTGTTTTGTTTATCAACTCTCCGCTCTGACTTGTTCTTTGGGCCACAGCCGGCGTCCGCTGGCGCGCCAAATAGGACCACTTCTAAATTGTCCACGCTTTCGTGGCCCCGCCGTGGTGGTCTAGTGGCTAAGGTACTCGGCTGCTGACCCGCAGGTCGCGGGATCGAATCCCTGCTGCGGCGGTTGCATTTCTGATGGAGGCGGAAATGTTGTAGGCCCATGTGCTCAGATTTGGGTGCACGTTAAAGAACCCCAGGTGGTCGAAATTCCCGGAGCCCTCCACTACGGCGTCTCTCATAATCATATGGTGGTTTTGGGACGTTAAACCCCACTTATCAATCATCAAAATCATCCACGCTTTCGTGGTGCGGTTCGGGGGGCCGATACTTCGGCCCTTGAAGTTAGCCCGGCAATCGCCTCCCTAATTTATGGGACCCGTGACAGCAGCTCCATTGTAAAATTGAGAAAATTTTATCATTTCTTGCAACCTAACTTCCAGCTTGCACATCATAAGCACTTGTTATGCTAAAGGCTGTAATGATGACACATTGGGGAATGAATTTTGCATGCATGTCTGTCATGATTCACTTTTGATCACAAAATGACGACTTATTTAATGCGCATTCATGAGACCTCCATTGGAAATATCTTGGTGAAAAGAATTTTTTAGTACAGTAAAAGGTCAAACTCAAAGGGGACAATAAGATTGTTTGAATTAAGTGGAGTTCGAATTAGCAGGCGGGCACTAGAATGAACGAATATCATGCCACACGGTGCGGGCAGAACCTGAAGAAGCCACTTCTAGGCTCTATATCGCAAATTAAGTTCACAAAGCTCTAACAGCGAATGGAAAGAAGCACCGACATGCACTCATGTGAGCACTCAGCTTTTATGTCAAAATATATGATGCTATTTATGCTTCATAGCATGTTTATTTGTATAGCATAAATAATGCAATAAAAATTAAAATTAATCAGTATACAATTAGCACTTGCTAGCATTTCTTCTGTCGCATCTCCGTGAGCACCGTTTGCAGCTTCCCCAAAAGCTCCAACGCAGCGTCTAAATTCTCATCTGCTGAGAAATGCTTCTGTTTTAGTGTTTTGAATATCTAGTAAATATGGTTTGGTTTTGTTTTGCAAAACATTGTGATCACTCAGAGCTTACCTCTGCAAGGAGGAATTTATAATTGTGGATGCTGACGCATCCAAATTATGTTTACCTTCACAGAAATAGACAGGGCGCGGCCGGGACCAGGGCATCAGTTTTCATGAACTCTGAGTCTGAATTAATTTGAATTAAGAAGCTTTTACAGTAGTGTGAAGAAATCATGCTTGCTCTAATGTGCTTGCATTATTATTTTTTTGTATTAGCAATATTTACGTAAATATTTTGTCTTAAAGCAGTGGTTCTCAACCATAAAGGTGTCGGGGACCCCTTGTGGACTGGTGGAAGTGGTGGGGGACCCCTTGCAGCGGAGGGGAAGGAGGGGGCTACATATGTAAATTAACACAACTGAAGCATGAAACAAGTGCCTTTTATTGCTACCAAAAACATCAAACAAGCGTGCCACATCACTTCATTTTGGACAGTTCATCAATACGTGGCACAGTCACGCTTAAAGAAAAATGCGGGTGAAAGTTTCGCAGATCATACAAATGGCTTCGCGGACCCCCATTTGAGAACCACTGTCTTAAAGGGTTACCGTCATTTTTTTACTAGTACATTCATTTTCGGCATTAAAGAAAGGTTTGAAATCTGAAACAACAAAAAAGACACTGTAACTCCTCAAAATACCCTGCTTAATTTAATATTGCAGATTCTCTACAGCCAGCTTCACTATCATTTCCACAGTCTATACTGAATCATGCTATGACCGAGGAGGCAGTCATCGTGTGGTAGCAGCATAGTGCAGCATTTTGATGCATGTCTTAGCTACTTTGTGCCTGTACTTGGTCAGTGTTCTCACAGTGCAGCTAACTAAATGTCAGTTCACTGACATTTAGTAGTAAGCTTAGTGTAGTAAGCTCAGTAAGTAGGTCAGTATACTCACTGTGCAGCTTACTAAACCAGTGGGATAGAGGTACTTCATTCAGGCTGACTTTTTCATTGTTCTGCCATTAAAGTCTTCCCTCCCTCTTGCTGAAGGCTTTGCGTGTCAGCTCTTGTAGAGCTTGGCATCAACAGTCATTGCTTGTCAAAGACGGTGCTGGGTAACGTACTCTAGTGTTAGTGACATGAAATTTTATTTTGAATGTAAAAAAATCTGTGCCTTATGGATTTTGCCACAGATTGCTTTTAACCTTGTGGTTTCAATGACCACTTTATTTCTTACTTTTTTTATTGTTTAAGAAGGTTGAGCATGAACTATTTTTTCTTACAGATCCTGAAGAGTTTTTAAATTCATTATTCCATGCATTAAGTGTGAAGCCATTTTTAAAGCTAAGGTGAGTATTGTTCAATATAGATAGTAAATTTTCTTGTTTTCTTTGTGTGCCTTTAGCTTTGTCTGGCTTAGGGATTCAAAAATTTTACATGGTAATGGGGGTTCAATCTTATGCTTACACACAACCAATTTGAACGTTTAACCTTAGGAAATTTAATGACAAATGTCATTGATATCTACAACTGCCTTTGATGAAAGCTGAAGGACTTGCTTCTCTCCACTGTGCAGATAAAATTAGTGTGTTTTGTTATTGCAAGTGCCTGTTAACATCTAGATACATTTTTTCATGTGCAGCAGTATAGCAACAACAAAGTTGTTGGCCATTCTTGGCCCTTGTATAAAATATATCAGTAAACGTCAATGTCCCATTCATTGGCATGACTGTGCAGCATCTTATTCTTTCTTTTTTCTTTGAACAAAAAAAAAATACAGGCAATTTTTATGCTTTAATGTGCTCCTCCAATATACTTTTTGGTATGTGGTTATGTATGAACAATAAATGAACCTTACAAATCATTATTCAAGCTGTTAACTTTTTTATATGTTCACTAAGCTTTGTATGATGTGAGAAAATTTATATCTCCTCTTTCTTGACTTCATAGATGTATCCATGCTGCAAAATATTAGCAATATGGATGTGTATGTACACTTTGCATTTCTTTTTTAACTGATCCTTTTTACATAGTAATACAATTCTACAGGAGCATGCGAGATTGGCTGCTCAGAGTAGACTTTGTTACCAATCACAGACACCACCAATGGCACCTCCAGAAACTAAATTGGCACTTCTGGCTAAAAATGCCACTCAGGCCTCCAGCTAATGCCCAGGGCAATAGAAGCGACAGAGCAGCCCCTGCCTTAAAAATTCCGTGACAGTAGCCCAGCTCCCCTCATCAAAATGAGCTTGGTCAAAATAAGCTTGGTCTTCACTGACCCCACACTACCCGGAGAGGCCTCTCATCAACCCAACAACAGTGAGCTGGGCAGGGGTAGTCTGCTGGAACAGCAACTTCTCACAAGACACTAACAGCTCTCTTATTAAATATTTGCCTAATCAGAATGAAATGCTTGAAAATAAAATCAAGCAGCTCAAAGAAATGCTTGAAACCCGCCATTAGACAGTTATAGTTTACCATTAGCGTGATAGCAGAGGTTAAAGGAATGACGTTGCCGTGCAGCAAACATTCGTTGCAGACAGCATCTTATAATTTAGTGGGATAGCGTTTACGTGGTCATTATGTGGCTTATGTGCCCCAGCTCGGATGGTGGCGCCACTTGTCGGAGGGTTGACAAGTAATAACAGTGAAAAGGAAAATGAGAATGTCTGCCTGTGTCACCGCGCGAAGCATTGTTACAAATATATTTTAGCAATAGTAATAGTAAATAAATATGAACCACACACCAAACGCAAAAACATTTATGTTGCCGATTTGTTTACATCAATCTTGTAGCTAGGCCTAGAAACGTTCGAAATGGGAAGCTATATTAAAACTGCGCCAACTTATCCACAATACTCAGTCATCGAAGCTAACTGAAGGCAAGCAAAGCCACTTTGAACAGTCATTTGTAGTGAACGCAGCAAGCAATGGAAACGAAAATGGTAGGTGTAACCTTAAGAGACAAGAAGAGAGCAGAGTGGGTCAGGGAACAAACCGGGGTTAAGGATATCATAGTTGAAATCAAGAAGAGGAAATGGACATGGGGCGGGCACGTAGCGCGTAGACAGGACAACTGCTGGTCATTAAGGGTAGCTAACTGGATTCCCAGAGAAGGCAGGTGGGTTAGGGGGAAACGGAAAGTTAAGTGGGGAGATGAGATTAAGAAGTTTGCGGGTATAAAATGGCAGCAGCAAGAACAGGACCGAGTTGACTGGCAAGACATGGGAGAAGCCTTTGTCCTGCAGTGGACGTAGTCAGGCTGATGATGATGATATGGCGAACATAGTGAATCTTTCAACAACTATGCCAAAATCACTTTAAAGCGGGTGTCCAAAAGAGCCGCCATGTTTTACGTACACCTACACTAACACATTAACGTTAAACTGAAATCTGAAAACTAGAGCGCGTACGGTAAGCGGTACAGGTAACGTACGTATCTGCACATTCACTCTTTGATTCTACTATCACGGTACGCCCGGTATCCCGGTAAGCTTGGTATACTATAACTGTCTATTGATGTCTATGAAACTCTATGATATCTATGAAGCGTCACGGGAAACACACAGGAATGCTATTCTACCTTAATACAACACTTTACTATACCCTCACAGAAAAGACCAACGTAGCCATGCTACTAGTAAGACATTTTACAGCTAAATTGGACACATTTAGTTGTACTGACATCTTTCACAATTTCATGATTCTGCTTCAAAACCTCAAACAATCCCACTATATGCGTTTAATATTTATAGCTGTCCAAATACTCAAAGGCCTCCTGCAACACTTTTTGAGCACGGTCAGAAAACACTGCCGATCGGTAGTAGAGGCATCCGAGAACATGCGAGCCAAATGTTATAGCGCAGCACGAGGCCTGGATTCACAATAAATTATCAGTCAGCTAAAAATTGCTTTCTCTCCCATCGACAAATGACGGAAGATGCTCAAAAATCACTCGTAGAATGCCCATCTATCAGCCATTGGCTGATTTGAACATGGCACGCTCTGTCGTTACAGAGATTGCCACAAAAGGCCGTCACTTGTCCACGCGTATGCGCGATCGCACTGAAAAAGTCGCGTATTCGAAGAAAAAAAAAAAGAAAAAAAGTGCTCAAGGTCACGAGGTGCGCGTGATGTATTTTGTTTGTCCCTCCCATTCCTCCCTGCTTAGTTTCCAGCGCTTCCGTCAGGACAAGAGAGAACGCATTGCAGTGTGTGACAAATCTTTGCAACTCCGCTCGTACTGGACGGATTCTTAAAATTGTTGCGCCGTCGAATTGGTGAGGCAATAAGCTCTTCCATTGAATAATTTCATGGTTACTCAAAAAAGTCTTTCAGGGCCCCTTTAACACTTTGAGCAAATGCTTGCAGAAGCCAAAGCTAATGCAAATAAATAGCCACTAGTCAGGGTAACTTCGATGCCTCCCCTCTCCCCGCCCCCGTTTCAAATGTGGGGTCATTTTGGGTCGCTTCACATCCACCTCCTGAAGGAGATAGCTATGGCAGCACATACAGAGTCGGGGTTTCACTATACCTAATAGCTTTACTGTCTCTACCTGGCTAAAAAATAGCGTGAATACAAATACATCCCCGAGCTTACCCTAACTTTGCCACATTACTCAGGAGACTTAGTGCAACCTTCAAAATAACTTGGGAAGCGACTATATTGTCGTGAAACTCACGCGGTCTTTTAAGCTCCGACTGCTAGCCACAAAACTACTACGTCTGGCCAATTGGACAGAGTTCATGAAATCTCGCACCAGCCTTCACAAAGAAGACATCACAGACATAAAGCAATGGGTGAACTCCTTACAAGCAGAATTTTATGCCACCATTATACCGCAAGGCACCGCTTTGGCTACAATTGATTCGAACCATCTACATATGTGGGAAGCGAAGCAAGCTCGGCTCAAGAAATGGTTAAGGGGGGACACGGGTTTTAAAAGCCGAAAAATCGTCAAAAAGTTGATTTTTTGGAAATGGCAGTTTTGCTATTTCCATCCAATATTCTACCATTTCGCCAAGTTTTATGCAGTTTGAAACGATATCTTAGCCGTAATATCAATTTTAGCACCAGTGCCAGCTAAATATGAGCCAAGAATTTGGTAAATAAAGCGCCTTTTCCGTGACACGCGACGGCCGTCATATTTGTCCGACAGCCGCGAATCATATATCGTTTGAAAGCGCAGCCTCTCGTCTTGATTTTCGCGCCATTTTCGGCTCCGAGCGCGCGTTGGCTGTGAAGATATCCCGATTCAAAAAGAAGTCCCAACACGCGCAGTAATTGGCCAGTTACGGCACGTGACCCGCAGCGGGTCACGCCATTGGCCTGACAGGCATCGTCTGCATCACTCCGCGGCGACTGTGCGCACACCGTACGCGTCAACTGGTTTTCGCACGTGAGCAACGATGTCGACGCCGTCGCCGAAGTTCGCTACGAAGTACAAATTCGGAACAAAAAGGAAGAGGAAGACTCCGTACAACTTCCAGAAATGCGCTGCTGTGCCACCACCAGTTCCTGACCATGCGGAGAACGGCGTGCTTCCCGAGTCGAGCGGCGCCGATGCGGGCGTGTTAGGCCTAGTCCCCCAAAGCGCTCTTGACAACCGCCGCGGGTCTTCGTCGTCGTTTCGGCACGACACTGCAATGTTGCAGCCAGAAGATTTGCGGCGTATAGAGAGTGAAGCTCAAGAAAAACTTAATGTACTTGCTTCAACTCCTGCTACTGCCCGAAAATCTGACTTTTTGGATCGTGATGACGCTGCCACACAAGCTAGCAACGATCTCGCTACAAGTTTTTTCATCGCTAGTTACGACTCGATGAACGCGCTGCTGGCGTCTACCAGTTGCAAGTGTACAATTTGTGGTGGTAACCTCACGGTGCGAAAAGGTGAGCGGGATTTTGGCCTTGCTGTGAAGTTTGTTGCCGAATGTGCGATCTGCGGCGATAATGTGCAGGGATGGAGCTCGCCGCGCGTGAGCGGCAAAGCAAAGCTCAGGCCTTTTGTCATAAACATCCTTGCGGAGCGTGCAATGCAGAGCACCGGAAACGGGCAAACCGCAATGAACGACATTTTTGCGGCGATGAACATTTCGGAGAGAGGAATGCACAATAAAACATGGCAGGGACACTTGAAAACGAAACTCGTCCCCGCGGCAACCGATGGGGCAGAAAAGTTGATGGGGACATGTGCACAATTAGTGCGCGATTTGTACCGTGACCTAAATATAAACAGCCCGGACAACATCGCTATATCGTTCGATGGCACATGGATGACGCGCGGCCACTCGTCTCATATCGGCGTCGGCACCGTAATTGAGCTCTACACAGGATTTGTGCTCGATTATGTAGTGCTCAGCAATTTCTGTGCTGGGGTGCGCACGGGCACCAAAAGAAGTTGACCCTGCCTACCAGGCTTGGAAGGAGGCACACGCATGCCAGAAAAACACGGACAAAAAAGCTGGGGAGATGGAGGTGGAAGCGGCACTGATCCTCTTCCAAAGATCGCTGCAGAAGCATAAGCTGCGGTACACGACCTTGTTGTCGGATGGTGACAGCCGCGCTTACCTTGCTCTTCAAGATGCGAAAGTCTATGGATACATACCCGTGGACAAGGAAGATTGTGTTAACCACATTCACAAGAGAATGGGCACAGCACTGCGAAATCTAGTTTCCAAGCAGAAGTCCTCTGGTACAGAGAGTCTCGGTGGGAAAGGAAAGCTGACTGGTGAGCTTATCACCAAGCTCAGCAGCTACTATGGCTGGGCCTTGAAATCGCACAAAGGTGATGTCAAGGCCATGCATAAAGCAGTCATGGCCACATACTACCACATCACCTCAAACGATGTCACTTCTAACCACACTCTCTGTCCAGAGGGTACTGATGCTAGGCCATTTGTGAACATTGTAAATAGTTTGTGATTTTCTGTATTAAATATGAGCCTATTTTGTTTTTTGACGTTTTCTCAGAATGTCATTTTCGATGTTTTTGAAACTTGCCAAAGCGATATCTTGGTCTTGAGGTCACATAGAGCCACAATTCTTGTGGTGGCATGTAGCTACATATGTCTCCTACACAAATGTAGGAACAGATTTTTCAATCTAGTCTTTCTAAATTTTTATTCTTGGTACTAATTTAATCGCTTGATAGAGATATCTGGAGATTAAACTTCAAATTGCTATAAAATTGGTAATACTTGTAATATTAAAAAAGTAATCCTACATTTGTGTTAATTACACTTCATAGTATCTAGCCATATGTCAATATTAATATTCTGGCCAATAATTGCCTTTCCATTGTTCTGATAAACAATATAGGATTAATTTTAATTATCTCTGCAACTGGCCAACCAATTTCAAAAGCAATTATATTTTTGAAATCAGCTTGAAAAACTCTGTCTGGGTTACAATTTTCATTGAATTTGGTCAAGAAATATAAAAAAAAAATTTAAAACCCTCTTCCCCCCTTAACAGCCCATTACAACTACAAACTCCAAATCAAAATTGCTAAATTAGACTGTCAGATCCAGCAACACGCTACTGAATTGGCAGCGCAGCAATAGACACAGATATGTGGAGGAACACATATGGTTGTCTTAGCACTAAGACCTGTTTATATTGCTCTAACATCTGTTTGATCCCGTCACGTCTAGGGCTCATAAAAACTGCCACATCAATAAGCTACTAGATGAACATGCATTGGACCACCAAAGCAAATGTTCAGCAACCTGGCCTCCAGTTGTATGACTCCTCCTTTGCCAAACCCCATGCCCTGTTATGCTGTTGATCCAAACAAGGCACTTTGCAAGCCCGTCACTTAACCAAAGTTTCGACATGCTCTCAACAAATGTGAGCAACTGCAGCATCTGGCACAGACTGTGACAAATGAGGCACTTCTCAATATTAATGACCAGTCAATGTACGAACTCACAGGATATTGCAGCCACTACCTCAAAAAGGGCGAGATACTCCAACAATAGAAAGTAGCCAAGGTAATCTTCGGATCCAAGCCAAATAAGCCAATTCACATTGATAACTTCTGTCCGTTCTCTCTCTCACTTCGTGCTTAGGGAAGATTATGCAGCATGTAATCCACCTACGTCTCACCAAATACATGCAAAATAATCACTTCTCTTCGGAGATGACTGGCTTTCTCAGCTATCTTTCATGTCAGGGTGTCATGCTAAGACTTGAACTAGAAATTATCTAACTGGGTGATGGTCGTTATACACGAGCGTTGCTAGGCTTTTACCTCTAAAAAGGCTTAAATAATGTGTCCTTTATAATCATTCTGTACGAACTTAAAAGTATAAATTATGGAGAGTAGACCTACCATTATATGCGCAGCTTTCCACGAATTGCATTGCGACACTCCAGTTAGGCAGCGAACAGTCTGGTAAAATAAGTTTAGGAAGCAGTGGTATGTTCCAGAGGACAGTACTGTTCCTTATCCTCTTTGTTCTGGCCATAGACTGTTAAGTTCTTGAAGGTTCCAGACCTCCAGTTTGCATTGTACATGGATCATATTATGCTGTTATTATGCAATATTAATGGGCACATTCAAGGCACCCTCTCAGCAGCAACTTACGCGATCATGCAAGTAGACTATGACTAGAATCTCAGGTGCTCCCCAACAAAGCAGAGTGTCTCCTTCTTTCCACCTATCAGAGGTTTCGAGACATCACCCCCAAATATTCATTTTACACTTGGACACCGTGTTCGCCCTGAAATTGGTCGATAGGTGGCAGCACCATCACCGTCCGTGTGCTCAGATTTGGGTGCACATTAAAGAACCCCAGGTGGTCGAAATTTCCGGAGCCCTCCACTACGGCGTCTCTCATAATCATATGGTGGTTTTGGGACGTTAAACCCCACATATCAATCAATCAGCACCATCACCGCACCAGCGTAGATTGGTAGTTTGCGGCGCTTGTACAATTGTACACAGTAGCGCTTCATTGTGAGTGGTTTTGCGCTGGTTATTGTTGAACAAAACATGTTAACTGCAGTCTACTGGTAGTATGTGTATTCTCCATTGTTGAATCGATGCACAAAGCCCATCCAATGTTACTATAGTAAGAGAAGTGCAATCTGATAGGATGCTTGCCCATAGTGATAGTATGCGTGTTCACACTACGTGACGGTGCTTGTTCTATCATTTGTGTGTGTTTAGCTTGTGTGCTGCCTAAGATGAACCTCTGTAGCACGACTGAACTACTAAAATATTTACTTCTTGCTCATCTAGATACAAAGAAAAAGGAAGAAAGCCCATGTTTCTGTGCGAGAAGTTCAGTGGCATTGTTTGCGAAAATAGGAACCTTTTTTTATCCAGTTCTCCGTGAAATATAAGACAATCGATAAGTTTAGTCTGGACATTTACTTGGCTGAAAGTGCTTTGCGCTATGGAGATGTTTAACACATACGCACTTGTTTTTATTCCAGTAACAGTATAAAAAAGTAACAGTTCAGCAGGCACCTTTGTTCGTTTGGTTATCTGCATGAAAATGATACAGAAAATGTCTTATTATTTTATGGGACAAAAGTGTTCCTGTTTTCAAGCAAATAATGTCTGCTGCCTTCTATTAAACATAAGATGAGGTGGATGTGAGAGCTTTCCTGTCTTTTGTTGCATGTATTGCGTGAGTATTTTATGTGAGGGATCATTTTGCAAAGGTAGTGCATAATTTTTTAGGACCACTGTATTCATTATTTTTTTTTTCTTTCAGCTCACAACAAGAGACACACCTTTATCAACTGTTTGTGGCTAAAAATGAGCTGCTGGAAATTCCTACTGTGCAGCAGCTTTTTCACCAGTCCATTTATGAATGCAAGCTAAAGTTCCAGAGGGTGAGCTGTTCTTGACTTTTTGGCTATTTTTTCCATCTGACCTGTTTGTAAAATGCTCTGAGTACTTTCTCTGCAGTCTCAATTAAATTTTTAAGTGAATTGTAGTTTTTGCATGTGTCTGCATAGTACTGCAAAAAAAAAACTTTTTTTTTTGTTTCATCCAAGACTGTTCTTTTTAAATGTTCTCTTTTGTCAGTTATTGCAAGATTTTTTTTATACATGACTGGATGATCTAAGCTACAGAAAAGCAAAGCCAAGCTACGTGCCAATGAGATTATCGACTGGCACGTTCTCTTTATATTACACGTTTCCTTTCTTGCTTTCTAAGGATATTTGTGTGATATGTAAAAAGTAGCAAAAAGTTGGATTGGAGGTTTTTAATGATGGCCTACAATTTTCCCTTTGATACTTTTGATATATAGATTATATTGGAGAAGTTAATAATATTCGCTGATTACAGGGCACTTTTCTGAGCTTGTTTGTTCATTACTTGAGGACCATTCGTGGGGTACTGAAAGAATAGGGAAAAAGTGAAGACATGAACTCACATACACAGGTGCCCATGTGTCAATTCATGTTTGCCCGATCTCTGTAGTGCCACACCAATTTTGCTGATCGCATAATTAGGTGAAATTAAAAAGAAATTGTCTAACTTTCTCCGAGCGATGCCGAGCATTCTTAGTTTTCTCCGTTTGCATAGCACTTGCATATTTTTGGTTTTGAAACAACTCACGTGGAACAGCTGGTATAATCAAGTGCCTCTTTCAAACGTAAGCTCTTACACTGAATTCTGCAATTAAAAAAAAATAACAAAAAAACAGTCATGTTGCCTGCTAAAGTATATGCATCAGCTTTATGCAGGAACATTCTTTCAGTCGGGTTGGCAAGAAAACACAAACAGCTGTGCTTTTATGAAAATATTGGCCGCGAGATCGAGCAGAGTCGCTGCCTGGCAGCAGCTGGCTGAAGTGGTGAAGTGTGGATTGCTCCCTGTGTCGTCTGCTGGTGACGTTGCATTTCTATGTGTGCGTACGTCATGCACATTCTCAAAGTGTGGTTTGTTCACACTGCTTCTACGTATAACTGCGCAAGTGTAACTGTATCTATGTATGCCTCAAATGACGTACGAAAGCATTTGCTCTTGCTCGTGTGCTAATGCATTGTAATAAGATCGGCGAGTGCAACTTTCCAGAGTGTTGTTTATTGTCGTCGTACCCTCCATTCACGAGAATAATTTCAGTGTCAGTGCCGCTTTCTGTTTCCAGCACATTGCAAAATGCTCTTGGTTTCCTCCCAAACATGAGGACTATTAAATGGTGTGTGAATGCAGCGTTTTATAGCCACTCGGTTGTAAACAAAAACAAAAAAAACAGGTTCTAGGTCATGCACTCGCGCGCTGTTGTGTTGGTAGGTGTACAACTACGGCACTGTAGTAAAATATTGATCATGCGAAGAGCTTTAGTTGTGTTTATCTGGCCATGGTGCCACTACATAGAAATATTACTATCACATAAACTGTGACACATCGGTATTCAAGCTGTACATAAAGCAGAGTTCCCGTGTGCAACCATGTGCTTAGATTTAAGAACACTTTAAGGAGCCCAGACATTGTAAATTAACTCGGACGGCGTGCCTTATGTATAATGTCATATAATTTTACTGAAAATTTCGTCTTTTTCACATGATCTTCAGTGTTTGTGTGGCATTGTTAGTGACTGACAGAAGGTAGTAATCATTTTTTGTCTGAAAAAAAACAACAACAAAAAAACATGCTTTTCCCAATAACCAGGCTTTTGTTGTAGCACTGTCATGCACGTAATCCATCGATGATAGCTTTGTGCTGAACTCTTATATAAGGTTTTTATATTTTTACTGGTGCAAGAACATGTGCATACACGTGCTAAACGCAGTGTGGCGCAAAGCACCGTCAGCCACTAAGCTTTCCTGATTAGACTTGTCGACTGTCCCACATTTCATGGTGAGTGAACAGGTTGAGAGAGAAAAAAAAAAATCATATGCGTATAAGGTGCGAATGGTGGTACTGAACTAATCGCACAGATAAGCGGGCTTTTTGGGATATTTTTTTTTGTCTTTATTTTTGTAATATGCATATGACAAAGATGTAAATAAGTAGTTTAGTCACGCTACAGCAGTGCGTAGCAGGCAGAACACAAGCTGAGCACATACAAACAACACAGCAAAGGCGTGATGTAGTGCAAAAGCGTGAAAAGAATCACCCAGGGCGAGCATCCCTATGAAAGGCAGAATGCTCTTTACTCATGGTTAATGATAACGTTGCATAGGCTTCGTGCACCGATTCAGTAGAGAACAGCGTAGATATTGCTAGTGAACTGTAGTCAGCGCATTTTATTCACCGACAATCGGCTCAGACCGCATGCAACGAAGTGCCGCTTTGTGTATTTGTATATGCGCTGCCGATCGCCGATCCACACGTGCACGGAAACGGTGCTGCCACCTATAGCTCGATCTCACCCCCAATAGAAGGCCTCTTCCGTGTGCCAATGACTGATTATCTAATTGCAGCAGTGACAGAGCGGAAACACTTTTTTTCTAAATAAGGAATAAATCTGATACTTCATTGTGAAGATGTAAGCATATAAACATCTGATGTCCTGCAAAATTGACTGTTAATTGTGGCCAGGACCTTCGCAGCACCATTCTGTATAAATTTAGTGGTAAAATATTTGCTCTGTAGAGTCTGTACACTCTTTAGCACTCCAGAGTTGGCTGTGCATGAGAAAGAAAAAGTGGAATGAATATTTTAGAAAGACCAAGATATACATAGTGAAGTGCTTAAAGCAGCCAAGTTTTTCCCCCAAAAAAAGGCTCTTATTACCTTCAAGCACAACTAGCCAACCTTGAGAAATAGATTAAGAATAAATTGTGTTCATCATGATGTCTTCCTAAGATGAACTAATTTCTGATTAGGTTATTTTCTGCTGCCTATTACTGTGTCATTCAACACAGATACTTAACGTCAGTGAAGCACACTCTGTTGCTGTCATGTACAGGTGCTCACTGAATTACTTGGAATGCCAGAAAGGCAGGTGCTGGCTGGTGGAGTGAGCTGCTGGAAAAAGATAGTGCCATGGTCTGGATGTGGCATCCCTTGCAAGCAAGCCTCGCTCCATATTACATCTAGAATGACATTGCCTTGCGCCAAAGGCTAGTGTTGAATGTGCTAAGAAAGCGCTATTCACAGTTGCACAGAGTAAATAAATAGTCCTGTCAGGATAGGGATGTTAAAAAGATGAATGGCACCAGATGAAACAAAAGATAAAAGGCAACTAAGCTTTTAGGACTCTCGTGCATGCACTTGCATGTTTCAATACACACGTACACACAGAGTGTCACAGACCCCTTCCGCCTGGCACTTCTGTGACACCACAAAGATGCATTCAATGCAAACCTTTTGGCACAAGGTGTAGAATCCAGTTAAGATGCACCAAGCTTGCTTGCGTGCTAGGGAAACTGTGCACGTGCAGATCATAGCTATGTTGTTCAATGGCCGAGCTCTGCCAACAAGTGGCCTCCTGTCTGGCATCCCATGTTTTTTTGTGAGCATCTGTACATAATCGGTTATACACCAGGTGACTTCGTAAACGCTTTCATTGTATATCTCGTGCATACTACTGCTTGACCTAACTATTCTATTGCAAGGGCCTGCGTCAGAGCAGCCCTTGTATACTTGCCATGTCTTGGCATATTGTGATGCTTCCAGTGACTTGTCAGGGATTTCTTGACATCCACCAAATCACCTCCATAAATGCTCTCATTCCTAAATACTGTACTATAATATTTCTACTGCTGCTGCTGCTGCTGTATGATCAGGAAATATGCGAGTATGATTTTACTTTGATTTGCTTATTCATGCATCTTTCAGTGGATAAGTAAACTGTCAGTTTGTGAAAAGACATTTCAAGCAGCCACCATATTGCCACCAATTGCAGACCCACTTCACTATAAAAGTGATTAGGAAATACGCGAGTATAATTTGACTCTTATTTGCTTATTCATGCATATTTCAGTGGATAAGTAAATTGTCAGTTTGTAAAAAGACATTTCAAGCAGCCACCAATGGCAGACATACTCCACTTTAAATGTTCTAAATACAGTTAACTAATCTAAAGAGATTGATCAAAATGCTTCTAAACAAAGTTTGTGTGAATTGCTAAGGCCTATAAGTTTGCATCATGCACGATGAATATTAGAGCTGTGTAAATAGCAATACTTTGGGTGCAAAGCGAATTGAAATATTTTCAACTATTTCTTCAATATTGCTACAATATATTTTTCTAGGATTTTTGCAATATTTTTTTAATAATTTGAAGCAAAATAACAAAGTTTATCGGCATATTCTTGTGACAAAGCAACATGAAAGTGTTTTATCATGCTAGGTTGACGAAGCGCTGGCGGGGTGGTGTTTCGTAGTTGTTGTATAGAGAAAGAGGTAATGCAGAGGCCGAATCATACTTATACACATGATTTAGTGCAACTAAAGTGTTGACAACAACACTTGAGACGTAAGGGCAAAGATGCTATTTCCTCAGCCTCTCCTCTTCTTTCAACTTCTATGGAAGCCCAACTGATGTGGTGGATGAAGGCGTGTTTCCTTGAAGTCCAGAGTTTCAAATCTGCCTCATAGGTGTCAATATATAAAAATATCTAAAATTTTTAATGTTAAAAATCTTTGGCGTTCAATTTTTCGGACTACTCACTCAAATTTCAGGTCCGAAACAGCCTTAACTGAGCCCCCACCTCTGCCACATCTATCATCTATATGTTAGAACCAGCTTTTTTTGAGTCAATACATTTGGGGCCGTAGCAGAGCCTGAAAGGCAGCGTCGCCTCAATACGAGAGTTATGAGGTGCGCTTTTTAAAATCTGAAGGGGTCACATTCAATTAGACATTGACTATTCTTTTTTGGGAGGTACGAATAGTAAAATTCTAGTGTGAATCGAATCAAATAGCATGGACTGTTTCAAAAATATTTGAAATTTTCAATATTTACACATCCCTAATAAATATATTTAACTGAAAATGCAACTGTGGCTTTTACTGTCTCCACTATTAGCAAGAGAATGTTATAGAAATTGGGGAGAAGACACTGAAAAGAGGTGTTTACTTATTTAAGTCATCAAAGAGGCAACAAAAAGGCAGGCTTTGACTGCCATCGGGCAGCGCTGGATTAAGGTAGAGGAAAAGAGGCCAGTCAATGAGCTGATGCTGAGAGGTAAAGTACAGGGACTCAGAGCTTCACTTCAGAATAGATTCATGGCTCTAACCAAGGAAACAGACAGCATTGATGCAATGAACAATAATCTGACTAATATCATTAAGGAGTGTGCAATGGAAGTTGAGGGGGGAGTACAGTCATTAGGCAGGATACTGGCAAGCTGTCACAGGAGATGAAAAACTTCAACAAGAGACGTCAAACCATAAATGCCTCAAATACAACAGACAGAATAAAACGGGTGGAGCTTTTGAAGTTAATCAATAGGCGCAAGGTAGCCGGCTTAAAAAGATATAACACCTAGAGAATTGAGCATGCTGTAAATAGCAGAAGAATCCTAAAAGCTGTGAAGGCAAAACTGTGCATAGGTAAAAATCAGATCTATGCATTAAGAGACCAGGGAGGCAAGGTGACAACCAATATAGCCTAGATAGTTGAAGTAGTGTAGGAGTTCTACACAGAACTGTACAGCAATTGAGACAACCAGGATGATATCGTAAGAAGCAGTAATAGCCCAGAGAAACCTGACATCCCACCAGTAACGACAGGGTAAGCAAAGAAAGCCCTATCGAGGAAATGCAAAAAGGCAAAGCTGCTGGTGAGGATAAAGTAACATCAGACCCATTGAAAGATGGTGGATAGATTGTGTTAGGTATAACATGTCAGTTACTACTAGTGCATTGTGCTGTGGTTTATATTGTGCCATTGTCTTGTTCATGTTTTTTTTTTATCATGACTCAAAACAAACTCTTCCAACATTCTAGAGTGCAAAACTCCATGATTACATTAATTGAAAGTGAAAGCCTCTATCGAGTGCTGATGTGGTTCTCTATTCAATCTTAAATTTGGGACGGATTGATAAAAGGAACATACCATTCAGTACGTCAGTGAATAATAATTTATTTATGTTAGAAAACAAGTTAAGAAAGTTTGTTGCCTGAACCCGCAAGTACTATGTATATTTTTTTACTGTTCAGTGAGTGCAACATGTGCACTTCAAAAAATTCACTGTCTTAATAAACAAAACAGTGCCATCATCTCTATAGTAATCTTCATAATCATTAGGGCCCCAAGGCACATTTAGCCCAGACTGCAGAATTTTTTCATCCAGCTCTCCTTTTTGTTGATCTGCAAGGCTTCCTGTTAAAACTTTAGCTCTAGTAAATTATTATTTAATGGTTTTTGGAAAGCTCTTTCGAATCAACTCAACTTATACATTTGCTGCAGGCACCTAAAGCATTGATCATCCAGATGCCTCGCTGTGGGAAGCAGTTTAAGCTGTATGACTACATTGTACCGAGCCTGAAGTTGGACATTACAGATGCCTTGGAAGATTGTAAGTGCATGAAACAGCATAAGGGTTTTGTGCAGTATTGTTTTAGATAGTGACAAAGTTGAATGGGAGTATTCTTCTATTTGTGTTGTATGCTTAGATAAAAAAGTAAAATATTTCCAGAACAGATAGTCGCTAGCACTTATAAAACTCTTGAACCACTACAGGGAAGTAAAACAAAAGTATGTGAATGGCTCCAGTGGCCTGTTTTTCTTTAGGCGCAACTTAATGAAGTCACTAAGTAATGAAGCCAATAAAAGCATAAGGGTCAATATTTGTCATTTTTAAATAAGTGTAATAGTAATTTTGTCTTTAAGAGAAATGAATTAAAGCTTAAAAAAAGAAATGCATTGTTGGTGGGCACCAAACATTGCCATCATTGTTCATCAGCTTTAATTTCCATTTGTCATAAGCATTATCTTTATTTCAATATCAATAACACATTAATTGTTGAGGTATAACATCCCACAACCATGATATGATCATGAGAGATGCCATAGGGGAGGGCTCTGAAAATTTTAACCCCCTGGAGTTCTTAGAAGTGCACGGGCTTTGAGCATTCTCAAAGCAAGAAATAGAAGTGCACGGGCTTTGAGCATTCTTGCCACCATCAAAAGCCTTTATTTTAAAGTCACAAGAATTGCTGCCTATGCTTTCTTTGGCTTCATTACCTGTGTATTTCTTACAGAGCAAGAGAATTCATACTTGAAATCTCACTCATCCGTCATTATATGTGCAATATTTGGAAAGTTGAAGAAATAATCTCTATTATGTCATACCTGAGTATCATTGGTATGAAGGGCCAAGGGCAGTATACTAATTTCTTGGTAATGAAGCATTCTAGGGACAGTAAAGTATAAGTTGACTATTAGTGATGCTTGTAAGCTTGCTTTAATACGCATGAGAAATAACTGTTTAAATAATTGCATAGAGAGAAGGAACATGTAAAAGAGAGAAAGAGAGAGATTGTTGTGTTAGGCTAGGGTCAAGTGCATGTTTTAATTGCTGGAGTCATGAATGTTTTTGCCATTAGGACAGAAGTTGCATTTGGATTCTGCGTCAGTTTTAACAATGAACCAAATGTAAATCTGGATGGCAACTTTTCAGGAGATATGGCATGAAAAGCTCAAGACAAACAGGCTTGCTTTTGGGCAAACTTCTCCCTGCAGAACTTAGACAAAGCATTACATTGGCTAAATGAACAAGCACATGTAGTAGTTGTCAAATTGAATGGCAGTGCCTGAATCTTGCATAAGCCATAGGTTCTGTGGTACATCCAAGGAAAAAAAAAAAAGAAAGACCTGTCAACTTAAGCATGCCAGAGGCAAAGAATTGGGTTTACACATGGTTGGCTGAGCAGTAACGTCAAGGACAGGCAGCTTTTCTAGGCTTCGCATAGTTAGAACTGTAAAACTCCCACATACTTTGCATTTGTTCCAAGTACCCCTGCAAGGGTCTACAGCTTTTGTGTGTGTGTAGAGTGTTCAAGCATGTGTGCTCTTGAACAAGTCGTCCACAGTGTCATTTATGAAATTATGTTCGGTAATCTTTGATGGCAAATGAATTAGTGCTATCAGCATTATGGTAGGAAGGGCTACTCTAGTTTGCTGTTGTGAGAGAAAAGGATCATGAAATGGAAATGACCATTTGTATAGTTGGGTGAGCATCATGCATTCATGCATGCTGCTACACACAGGCCATGCATGCTGTGTGTGTGTAGCAGCATGCATGAATGTGGAAAAATGTGAGATATGTGGTGAAGTCGTGTAAAGATCTGTGAAATAATTAGTTTTTGAAACGACAATGAAATTTAGTGTCAGAACTTGTCTCTTTTTAATTATTAGTGAATGGCCTCTATGCCACCTTTATGTGTGTATTCTGGTAACTTGATGAAGTAAAGTTTACCAATGAGAAACGAATTTTTATATTTTAGGCTAGGAAATGTCTTATGTGCTAGCAGTTCTACTTGCTGAAGGACATTGTGAGGGTTATGTTTTATTACGGTTTTATTAGCTGATGATCTCATAATAGCCACCTGCAGGCCTTAGATACTCGGAAATTTCTGCAGTGTCTCTGAGGATGTTAATTACCGTTCGAGGCATAAGTCATTGAGATTACAGGAAATTGACATTGCTTGGCATTTGGCAATCTCAAATTTTTTTGCTAGCAAACCAGTATCAGTCAGGATTATTAGCTAGTGATTGCAGCTATGGTTAAAAAATTAGAACAAACATGGGTTTTAAAGGATTGACATGTTCATGACCAGATAAAGTTGTACCATTATTAGAAATTTTTACAGCACTGGTTTACTCTGGGTTGACTACTGGCCAGAATTTTTTCATGTTGTTTGATAGTAAGGTACGCAAATACTATAAATGAGAAAACAAATTCTTTCATTGACAGATAGCTAACAAGTAAGTTCTGCTGCATGGTATTTTACCAAGGAGCTTGTACTTGACTTCAATTTAGCACAACAAAAAATGTGTTACTTTTGTTGTCCAGTTATTTAAAATATGTTGTGAATGATGACTCACTGCAGTCAAGGTGAACTGAAATTGTCCAAATAAACTGCACTAGAAGCTTCTTCAACTTATTGTTGAAGCAACTGGTTTTCTTCAGATTCAGTGTGGAGTCAGACTCAGTGTGTGTATGTTCAATTCATCAGTGATTATTGTGTAACATCCTCTGTTGTATAGACTGACGATTTTCTTATTGGAGTACAGTTAAACCTGCTTATAACGAACCTCCATATAACGAATTCCTCGATATAACGAAGTTTTTCCATTCCCCGCCGTCACTCCATAGAATCGCATGTATTTGCGACCTCTATGAACAAAACAGCGGGAGACAACTTTGATATATCGAATTTGCCCCACGGAAAATCTAGGAATTTCGCTCCGCATTGTGTCATTTTGGTACGAGCATGCATCTTCTGGCTGCCCCTCCGCCGACCAAGCGCAAAGCGGCGACGGGCAGGCGGGCCTACACCCCACGAGCCTGCGTTACCGCCGTTCTCGCCGCAGGGTATGTGCCCCTCCCCCCCCCCCCCCCCCCCCCTGCTAAAAAAAAAAAATACTTCCGCGCGTTGGCAGTGCCATGCTTCTAGGTAGCGTCTCATATGTGGGGCCGCGTTGCATATGAAGGGCGCTTTACCGAATAGTTTTCGCGGTGTATGTGTCCGTGTCGTTCGCTCGTTGTTTTCGACACCGTGCACGCCTACATAGTTTCACTGCGCGCGCATGGTGGGGCCCCCGACGACGTTCAGCTTTGCTTTCTATATATATATGTGTGTGTGCGTGTGTGTGCATGTGTGCATGCGTGTGAATGTGTGCATGTGTGTGTGTGTGTGTGTGTGTGTGTGTGTGTGTGTGTGTGTGTGTGTGTGTGTGTGTGTGTGTGTGTATGTGTATGTGGACAGTCTCAGCAGGTTTTTTGCCGCCGCCGTCATTCAGCGTATATGTATACGTACAGCCGTCAGCACCTTTAACACAAACACTTTGATGCGTGGCCAAGGCTAGTTTCAGTGATGCCAGTCGCGAAGTGCTGGGCGCTTTTGCCGAGATAATACCTCGGTAGGCATGAATAGAATATCAGCATGTGTGGTTAGCATCTTGGCAACAGAACCGAAACGTACATGGTGTCAGCGTCAAACTGCTGCAGGACACGCGGCGGAGTGTTCGGCTGCATCTATGTATATGAAAACTCATGAAAAAAAAAGCCCACCCGCGCTAGGCGCTTAGCTCGTCATGGTGCGCCGACACTTATCTCCCACGCATACTTTGCCCCACAAATGGGGGGTGGGGGTAGATGCGTGTGCGTTGTCCTTCGGTGGGGGGAATCGCACGTGTTCGACTTTGACCGGAACGATTGCGTTTAGTTGCCGGGTGCTCAAAGATCACTTCGCTCGCTGGACAGGCGTCGTTTGCGAAAAGAGTGCGCGTTTTAAATTCAGCGAAGTAACAACTGAGGCACCTAGCTGTTAGTTCGCACTCATTACGTTTCGTGCCTCGTTTTTGTTTAAACAGCGCGTTAAGTGCCGAGCGGTAAACGTTGTTAGTTTGCTGTCGTCCTGTGTATGTTGTTTTCGTGCGTCTTTGGGCTTGAGCAGCGCGCTGCACATTTTGATCTGCTTGCCGTTCTAAGTGTTAAATTTCAAGTTGTTGTTATCGCATTCATTGCTTCGCCCTTGCGGCGAAACTGTGACTTTTCTTAATTTTGGATAACCCTGTCTTCACCACCGAGGGGATGCCAGATTAGGCGCTGATGGAAACTCTCCGAGACCACGGTGACGATGGATCTTCGGAGGTCGACTCGTCACGCGCTTCCGTTTTGTGCCACACCGCGAGTTCGCAGGCTGGTAGCTTTCGCGATTAGCCGATTAGTTCTGGCAACACGGTGGCGTGTTCAATGCAATGCAATGATCTAGATAGCGAAAAATTGTAATGTTATAAGAAGTAAGGCTGGCAGCCAACTCTTTTGAATCCGATATTCTGGAACAAAAAAAAACGCTTGTATGAGCATACAACCGCTCCAGGGAAAGGTGCTCTTTTCACACAGTCCCTTCGCGTTGAGACCGCATTGATACTCGCCGAGATATCAAGCACGCCAGCGATCGCGACCGCCCTTAATATCCAAGTTCATTATTGCTACTCAAGCGATCCCCCCTCCCCGCATTGTTTCATGCTCGTTCAAGACGGGTGGTTCACTTTCTGTTTGAGCATTCGACAGCAGTTGCAACAACATGCGGGAGATGTTATGCACTTTTCAGGAGATAGGGACGTACCCACTCATTTGATCTCTGCTTCAGCAGCGCTTACGCGCTTTCACCCACCCCTGAAAGTTAAGATGCGCCGGGGCATATGTATTATCAATTTGGACTTCTTACGGAACATGGTGGTGACGGCAAAAACCCGTCGCGAGTGTCCATATAATTGGCATCGGAATAATAACGCAGCTTTTTACTGTAAAATATGTGGTCTAGGTTAGCTTTGCCTTCAGTCCCCCTTTTGTTTAATTTGTGCGTTTGTTTTCTAAATTTTGTGCCAAACCTGGATATAACGAAAACCTCTTTATAACAAATTTTTCAGAAAATTTATCAGTTTTGTTATATTCAGGTTTAACTGTAGTACATTTGAGGAGAAAGATCAATCAGGTTATGGTCACTTGTTCTGAACAGGTAGCTAATGAGACACTCTTACAGGATGGCTTGTTAATGTGAGGTGCTCGCAGTGTCATGGGTTACAAATGGTATCTTGTTTGTGTGTCTGTAAAAGGTTTAAGCTAAAGCAAGGGTTTAAATAATCTAAACCTTTTGTATAACTTTGCACCTATGCGAGGGCATGTGTATTAGTGAACACGTGGACTGCTGAGATAAGGTTAAGGATGTTGTAGGTAGCCGACAGATCCAGCCTTGCATAATTTACAGGCAATTGCTCCACCCGGTTTCCTCTTTGCTAATTGTAGCTAATGTCCTTTGTTTGTTTTTTAACTAAGCACGAGCAGGCTCTTAAAATAAAAATCATGCATAGCGTAACGTAAGCCTGCATAAGGCGGCGGCCTCTGTGCTAAAGAACAAAATAAATAACAAAAACAAACATACAAATAACAAAAAAGGAGCATACACACATTTGGGCACTTTTTGTTCATTAGTTCATGGTGTTGCAAAGAACATGAAGCAAATCTGGATTACTGTTGGGAGGACAACAACAGACTGAGTAGTACCAGCTACAGTTTAGCACAATTGGTAAACTAAACAATTTGTCGGTTAATAGCTGTATTAATTGATGGAATTTCGGGGCATATTAGCTTTTTTTTTTTTCACTGTAATACAGTTGAAGCTCTGTTTAAAAAGTTGATGACCTTGCTCAAATTATTTCATTACATCAGGAACTTTTGAAAATTGGGATAGGAATGGGATAGGAATAGTAAATTGGAATTGAATAGGGATAGGAATAGTAAAATTCTAACATAGCATAACCCAAAAGCTACTAAACTGCTGCGCACATGAAAAGTCCCCGAGGCTGCCCCAGACATGGAGCCTCACGTGTCCGGGTGAGGCAAACAATACACAGAAGCGGTCAAATTAAAAGGACACTAAAGAGAAACAATGACTTAGTTTAAATTGAGGGAGTGCACTCTGAGAGCTCTAATGCCATCTGTTTTACCATCATACGTTTATTACTACCAGAAAAAATTAAGGCAGAAGCTTAATTTTTAAATTGCGTGCCAAAATCTCCGCAGGTGATATAAAAAATTTCAAAATGTGCTTTTCGTATTTTTGTCCTTGAAAGTTTCTCAAACTTCCTACGCTTATTCTATGGGAACCACAAATTACAATGTACTTCATTTTTATCGATTAGAAGCTGTGTAGGACCTAGTTGTCTCCTTCAAAATCTATGACGTCACGGTGTTTGGTGTAGGAATCTCACGGTGGCGTCACCACATGCATTTTCGTTTCACACGGTATCTCGCTTAACAAGCGTCATGTTGCTGTAGATATGCGTTTGCATGATTGTGAAATTGTACGTTACTAATATGCGAAAAATTACTTTGCTCTTTAGTGTCTTAAGGTGCAATTAACAGAAGGAAAATGACAGCAATAATTGTGTGAGCCAGCAGACAAGCAAGAAAGTTGCAAGGAGATTATCTGAGTTGTCTTTCACATAAACCATGAAATAATAAAAGTGACTACCATAGTTGATTGATTTGTAGGGTTTAACCTCCCAAAACCATCATATGATTATGAAAGACGCCATAGTGGAGGGCTCCAGAAATTTCGACCACCTGGGGTTCTTTAACGTCCACCCAAATCTGAGCACACGGGCCTACAACATTTGCGCCTCTATCGGAAATGCAGCCGTCGCAGCCGGGATTTGATCCCGCAACCTGCGGGTCAGAAGCCGAGTACCTTAGGCACTAGACCACCACGGTGGGGCCTGTGACCACCACAGTGTTCATGTGGACGTGTTTATAGTGACAATAAAGCACTGCCACCCCTAGCACTATTCAGTATGTATGAGCACTACAAATGTTTCGTGTATAGGTGTGGCTTCATCCTCGTCAAAGTAAAACTACATTCGTGGCTAGGACGACAAGATATTTCAACTCGACAGTGTTGAAGCGCAAGCTCTAGGGATAATTCGTCTATGCCGAAATTAGATCGAAATTGCCCCATTTTCGCTCATTTATTCCTGGAAAATCCTTGCTAAATCACGTTTGCAACCAAATTAGTTTCATTAATTCGAGGTGATTGCAACTTTGAACCAAATGAATACCTTCGTTGTTGGATGGGTAGCATTGCAAAATATAGTTTCATTAGATTAAGGTTAACTGTGTGGAGACACCACTTTCTTTGGTAACCGGCCTATTTTTACTAAGTTTGGTATATTGCCCAATATTTAGCCGTCAGAGATATGAGTGATTAAGGACATTTTAATTAGTATAAGTCATTCTTTTTGTCAAAGGTCACAACTTTCCACTTTTTACAGTAATTAAAAACAACACTATAAACATCCAAGTGAGCACACAGGTGCTCATTACACACAAATATAAAAAAATGTGTTTGCCTATGGCCAGAAGAAAGAAAATGCTGGCATAAGTTATGTAAGCGGTAACATTTGCTAGTGTGGAAACTATTTTTAGCTTTATGCACTTAGTAGCAGGCTGTGCAGTACTGCCTGTCTGATGTTCTTGTTGTTTTTGTAATCTGCCTTTTTCATTTTCCTCTGCCAATTTGGTGGAGTTTTGTAGAGCCTGAGAACTGGCGTTGGTAGAACATAAGCCCCCAAGACCAGGAGGCGTTTTTTGACTTCCTCATTAGAGGAACGGCGCATGCGCTGTGGCATAATGAAAAAGCCGCATTGTTTTGTTTTTCTCTTTCCTTCTAGTAAATGAACCTTGTCATTTCTCATCTTGTTATTTGGGACATAGATCATAAATCTGTTATCATAAATCTTATGATTATCAGATATAGAGGCCTGGATGTGATAAGCAGTTTGTATCATGCAGAAAAATGATGCCTCACTGTTAATTGAAACACTTATTTGATTATCTTTTAGTAACAATCGTCTTGGCTATGTGCAATGGCCTCTTTTGCAGCATACAGGTTTTGCTATGTCTGTGGGAGACAGGCTACACTAGAGTGTTGGGAATGCTTTCGACCAGATGTGGGCCTTGAATGTACCAGTTACTGTGATAGCTGCAGCAAAACGGTAAGTGCACATTAGACCCGTAAAGGGGCACAAAAAAATTTAATATTTATACCTAATTGATTTGCTTTGTATGCTTTGCACACTGCTTTGTATGTTTGCTTTGCACACTGCTTTGTATGTTGTGTATACATGCATCTCTCTGGAAATAGAGGGTGAAGAATGCCCATTTGTGCTTGCTATGTTGCTATAGAACACGTGACAAGCAAAGCGATGCGGGAATTGATGTTTTTAAAGCGGGCTTTGCAATACTCGACTAGAGAAGCTAAACTCTTGGTATATGCGATGGTTATACTCTTAGAATATGCGACTGTGGCATGGTTTTCGTCGACCCAAAACCACAAAGCCGCTATCGAGGCTGTCCAGTGCAAAATCTGCATGTTTTATCTGTTACGGATATAGGCGCAATGACTCACCTTCGTAAATGCTGACAGAGATTGGCCTTCACACGCTAGCTAGTCGTGCAATGCTATCCTGACTCAAATTTATGTACCTCATCCTACAGAACAAGCTTAAAATAGATTGGAACACATATATTTCCCTCAACACTTATAGAGAAACTCGTCAAAAGCATCACCTTACACTCTAAGAATACTTATGTGCCAACAATGCCTTTAGTTTTTTGTTTTTCCCCGGGCACTGCTTGAGTGGAATGCTTTACCCGAGACGGTGGTTGCGCAGCCCACTGTCAACAAATTTGTCGAACTTCCTGGCTTGACCATTCTGTCAGCTACAAGATAGCAACGCTATCAGGATTGTACTGTTCATTGTCTGTCCTCTTTACGAGTACATATACTGATCTTTGGGATCCGATATGGTAGAAGTCGTTCTAATTTTGTATCTTGGCATGCTTTCCTTTCTCTATTCGTGTTATATCTTCTTTATTTTCTACACATGTAACTGAAACATGTGTACTCTTTATTAACGAAGGTCCATTGTTGTTATAATTCTGTATCATGACTTTTCTTTACTATTGTATAATTGTGTATTATCCAATCTTTACATTTCTTATATTGTGTGAATATATAATATTTGTAAACACTTATACCCACTCCTGTAAAAATCCCTGATGGGATTGACAGTACAGTCGACTCTTGTTAATACGAAGTTCACGGGGATCGCGAAAAACTTCGACATAAGCGGAATTCCAATTAACCACAATGAACGAAAAATACATTTATTTCAAAGCAGTTTATGAGAACAAATCTGTAATTGCCGTTTGCTTCTGTTTGCTGAATCTTGCAGCAGAAAGCAAGTCCTGCAGGCTGTATATGTGCCCGAGTGCTTTCTCGGCGTTGCTCCCAGCAGTGAAAAACCGCTGCGCGAGGGCAAGGCCTGCGACTACAGCAGCAGCCCGCGATAGTGGCTCACTTGCGGCGGCGTCGTCATCAACCTCAGTTTCGTGACTAGGCTCGCTGGGCCGAACCATCTCCACGATCTCACCATCCGACAGTGCACCGCACGTTTCTACCGAACTGTCAGTGGCAATGTACTCCTCGAAAGGAACGTCACCGAGAGCTGGCAGGAGACCATCAACGTCAAGCTCACTTGTGTCTTCTTCCCCCACTGTACAAGACGCGTCATCATCTGCACCACTTGGAATGAAGCTGCACGCCCTAAAGCAGTTCACAATGGTTTCATCCTTTACGCGACCCCACGCTCGCGCCAGCATATATATACTGAGAAGGCTCACCTGATACTGACTTGCATTGTCCATACACAACAGCATCCGCTCAAGAAGATGCTTCCTGTACAGTACTTTCACGTTTTTGATGATCCCCTGGTCCAGTGGTTGTAACACCGATGTAGTGTTCGCTGGCAGGTAGGCGACACGTATTGCACTCAAGAGCGGCACATTCATGTGTGCACTGCATTGGTTCACAAGGAGCAATACATTGCGTTTGGATAACGCAAACTTGCAATCCAATTTTGTTAGCCAATTCTTGAATAGGTCTGCGGTCATCCACGCTTTCCTGTTAGACGCGTAGTCGACAGGAAGCTTTTTCACGCCCTTGAAACATCTAGGCTTAGCAGCTTTGCCTATCATGAGCAGGCGACATCGCTCAGTGCCCGTCATGTTCGCCGCTATCAGCACCAACACTCTTTTTTTGCTACGCATCCCTCCAGCACAGTCATCGTCCTTAAAAGTCAGCGTCTTCTCAGGCAACATTTTGTAAAAAAGTGCTGTCTCGTCGGCATTTAAGATATCTTCCGGCTGATATACTCCCAAGTATTTGCGAAGCTGATTTTCCCTCCATGTATCACATGTTTCAGCATTGACGGCAGCCTTTTCCCCGTTAACGCTTTTAAACACCATATCGTGGTGCTGCTTGAACCGTGTGAGCCACCCATCGGACGAAGCAAAGTTCTCGGTGCCTAGCATAATCGCAAGCGATGACGCTTTCGCTGCAACGATATCGCCGCTGAGAGGAAGTCTGTTGCTTAGAGCCTCCCGAATCCAGATGACCAGTGCTTGCTCTAACTCCGGGTGGGCGCCGGTGCGCATTCTCTTGCGAGACATCTTGAACTGGGTCATTTTCGAATGTGTCCAGTACCGAGCGCTTGTTCTTCAGGATGTTAGACAGGGTATTAGGCTTGATGCCGTATTTCTCTGCAATATCTTGCTTGGCGGTGCCTCCTTGTTCAACTTCTTTCAAAATTTTGACTTTCGTCGCCAAGTCAAGCGTCTGAGAAGGCCCGCGAGCTGCCATAGTAAATGCACGTGGAGCTTCGTCGCACGTGAAAACGCTGAGTCCGCACACGACCGTAACGAGATCAACAATGAGGCCCGGAACCGGAACCGCCGGAGCAGCCGCTTAGTGATCTGGGGTGCTGCATGCAACTGCGATGCCATCAGCTGACGCTTTGAGCTGCGGCGCTGGGGTCAACTGCGATGCCCTTGGGTGCTGGTCGGACACGCATTGTTGTTTAGCACTTCGAAAATAGGAAATTTAACAAACATTACAATTTCCTCCGGGAATTCGATTGAAAATAAATTCGAATTAACCAAAATTTCAGACCTCTAGCTTCCAATTACCGAGAATTTCTTCCTGTTGAACTGCATGCAAAACTGACGGGACCCCCACTCCACTTCCAATTAATCGATAATTCTAATTAAGCGACTTCGAATTATCGAGAGTCGACTGTATTACTAAGTAAATAAAAAATAAATTATTGAGAACTTACAAACAATGATGCCAAAGAAAGTACTATAAGGTATGTCATTAGAAGTAATTGTAATAAAATATGAAGAAAGAAAAATTGATGAAAGAATAACCTTTTCATTCACTTTTCTTCACAACTATGTTACGATTGCTTCTAACAACATCCACTATAGAGTCAAGTCTACTTGTAACAATACCGTTTATTACAATATATTGGATATAACAATGAACAATGACAAGCACCATCCACCTTTGTATGTTTCTTATGGTAAAATAAAGCACTTTATACGATGATCCAGTGCCGCGATATTGGATATAGCTATTGAATCTAGGTAGAGTGCACGCTGAAAATAGGTCTCCGCACCAGCTGCGCCGTGCTGCGGACAGCGGTGAGAGCAACAACTATGACGACACAGTTGGGCAGCCTACACAGGCACTGTCATCGCAGGAGGCCAAGCAGATGATACAGTCTCTCTGGGACATTGTTTTCGAGAAGAACCTCTTGCTCACCTATGTAGAGCAAGTAGATGCTCTTGAGAAAGATGTGCACCAGCTATGCATGCAGCAATCAAAGCTGACAGACTATGCCTTTTCTGCAAACAAGTAGTACATAGTTGCACTGCCTTGCTTGCATGCAGAATAAATGTTTTCATCTCTTTTTTGCTTTTTTTTTTGTCAATCCTCTTGACAATTATCGGTAAAAGTGATGGGATTTTCTTGACACTTTAATATTGTGATTAGTGAACTGCACAGCTGTACTTTTCTTGGGATCATTGTCTGTAAGCTTTCATTATTATTGGGTCTAACAAAGGAGATGAGTCCTTAAATTTATACTTCTTTGCTGTATTATAAGGGACATAAAAATAAAAGGCAATTGTGAGCAAGGTATTGTTGATATTTATGTAAGCAGGCACGACCAGGACAGCGGGCACTTTTGGCTTGTGTTGACGTCATAGTGTTGCCTTAGCCAACCAGCCAACAGCACCAATAATGTTGAACACAAAAAAAAAAGGAGACAGCCATGCATGAAGCGTAGACTTCCAATTTCTGCAGATTCTAGTGCTGCAATTGCCTAGGAGCGTGCTAATACTATGTGGTTAAGGCATGTCTTGTATAAAGCTGTTGATCACAGTGGCAGCTAGTTTGTTCTTCTACCATTACCAAAAATAGTGCAACGATAACATAAGAACAGACATGCCCAAGCGTTGTCTATATCTGTTTGTTTTTTTCATGCTGTTTCAAGTAATGAAACCATGTGAGCAAGCTCAAGCCCAGACCCTTTATTGTTTTTTGTTCTTTTATACTTGTTGAAGTCTCACATATATTGAAAAGTATACTTTCATGTATGAAACATAAATGCTTGGTCAACAAAATATGAATGTATGTACCAGTCATGTGTATGTTATTGATTAATGGCTTGGGGTGCATTCTAATGCAGTTGCCAGCTGTTTCGTCTTGTGTGTTTTGTGCATCAGTCATTAACCTTGGCTGCATAGTGCATTAGCAGTATAGTAGGTACATATACTAAAGAGTATGTAAAATATTGATTTGATTAATTGATTTGTGGGGTTTAATGTCCTAAAGCCACGCTATGATTATGATAGACGCCGTAGTGGAGGGCTCCGGAAATTTCGACCACCTGGGGTTCTTTAACGTGCACCCAAATCTGAGCACACGGGCCTACAGCATTCCTGCCTCCATCGTAAATGCAGCCGCCGCAGCTGGGATTCGATCCTGCGACCTGGGGGTCAGCAGCCAAGTACCTTAGCCACTGGACCACCACGGTGGGGCATTTGTAAAATGTTAAAATTTGACTTAGTTTTCTTTTCGATGGAGGCTAAAATGCTTGAGGCCTGTTTGCTTAGATATAGGTACATGTTAGAGAAACCCAGGTGGTCAACATTTCCAGAGCCTTTGAAAAAAAATACTGCTTTGTGTTCCTTTCATCATTCTTAGTGTATTGAAAGCTGCAGTTATTCCACAGTGAGAGCAGTGGAATAACTGCAGACTGCTTCCTGCAATTATAGACTGCTTCCTTATTTTTTTAGATACACAAGCCAGCCACAGTTAGTTACAAGTATTACAAGAATGTCTGGAGAGAAATTCACATGGGAAAATGTTTATGCATTAATGCACTCGTATGACATAATGTTGTAACTTCAGCAAAATAATTTACCCTAAAATGGGGTTACTTTGTAACATATTTTGCACGTTTTATCTCTTGCTGGAGAATTATTAACGTAAAGGTGAACATTATATCATTGCTAAAACCTTCCCTCGTGCGATGGAATGTTCTACAAATCCACACATTTAATACAAACGGCTATATTCAGGTTAGAAGCTGTCACAATGTTGCCCAATCGTGTGGAGCAACTTTGTGGCAACGTTGTTTTTAGCGGAATATGATTGGGAAAAAAGGGGTGGCACATAGTTACCCTAATAAAACTTTATTTGAGTTATCTAGAACTGTTTTCTGCTCTAACAATGTTACAATTGTATGAAAACTGATTCATACATGTACCTCCTCAATAAGGATCTTTTACCTCAAGGATGCCCCATTTGCCTACTGGCCTAGGTGATTCCATTGTCTACAGACTTTCTTCTTTCGAGAACAAGATTGCGTATTTGAGGTCCAGCCATATTCAACTCTTCTGGGTCTTCTCCTTAGTGTTGACAATATACCCCTGAGGTTTGACTGCCGTAACTCTACCTGGGTAATGTTGTCGTTCAAAGTTTACCATGACACAGTCCTCCTTCTTGAAGATTTTTGCGGAACCTGCACCATGGACCCTCAGGATGCTGCTAGTATTTAGTGTCACGGAAGTGGTAGTAGTGTCTGTTTCAGATAGGTTGGCGAGAATTCCGGAGAGTACCTCGGAATGACTTGTATCTCCTTCTGACCATCTTTTGTTGTAGCCATGCTGACCATCTGAGGACGATTTGCTGTCACAGCTTTCTTCTGCACTGTTTTCCTCAAAAAGAGACCTCTTCCTAGGTCATCTAGCTCGGATACTGGGGGAAGAACTGCAATTTTAGGGGTAACTTTGGGACAGTTGGCCTGTCACAAGGTTACCCCTTGAAGTATCAACATTTCAGTTTCCTTTTTATAACTTTAAACAGACATGAAATGATTAAATTTATATTGCAGTTTATTTTAGCCTACATAATAACAATCACAAGTAAATACCAGTTTTCGCTGTTTTTGTCATGGGGACGGGTCGTGCACACAAAGTTTACAGTGCTTCAAGAATGCGTGCCAAAACAGCATTCATGTCAGCATCTAGAGTGGCTATGGAGGATGGGAACTTTGGCTGGCTGATGCTAGGTCACTTGGCATGTCAGATGAGCTTTTTGAGTGGTATATTACTTTCGTGCGACGTCTATTCGTGGCGGGATATCTAAAATACAGAAACCTGAGCGTGGGTCACCAAGTAACCCCTGATGTCACAAAGTACCTCATTTTACGGTTGTGAATATCTGCTCAAGGTGATACTGTTCTGAAAAAACCTCAAAAATTCAGAAAAATTTTAAAAGATTTTTCCCTAGAAAGTGCACTGATCCATCTATTTTCCTGCTTGTTTACAGGTTCATCAACATAAAGACAGAACAGACCATAAGCAGGAGCCATTGTTGATTAAAGATTCTTTTAGAAAGGATGCACCGCTTCGCAGAGAAGTTATGGACCTGTTTGCAGTTGTCTGCATTGAAACAAGCCACTATGTCTGCTTTGTGAAGTGTCCTGTAAAAAACAAACACACCTGGTGCTTCTTCGACAGCATGGCTGACCGTGAAGGTTAGTGTGCTTAAAGTTATCTGAATTCTGCTTGCTGATTTTGTGCCAGTGTCTGGCTGCCTATATGAACAAAGATGCCTGTTACATACCTACCAAGTCTCCCAGAATGTCCGGGAGACTCCCGGATTTTGACCGTTTCTTCCGTTTGTAAGGTTCTCATAAAAAATCTCCCGGAAATATAAATTTCTGCGTGTGATCTGGCCGCATGGACAGAAATGCAGGTCAGTCCGCTCCAAGCTTTTTGTGTACCTACCGCATTTTATTGTAAAGAAGTTTAGGAAGTGTTCATTTAAACGTACAGTAGTCTCGTGGCAGATACGAATTCATAAAGTTCCCCAGCCAAATTTCACTGTGTCCATTGGGCCAAGATTCAAATGTTCCGAACACTTTTCCTAACCGCGGCGTGTGATACGAACTTTAGTTCCAAAACGATTGAACGAAGGCTGATTGAGAGCAGCGTGCTCGAAGCTTCAGAAGTATGCGCACAACCAGCGCACGCACTTCCTTCTACAGTACGCGTGGTTGTTGCCACAACCACTGTGGAGGAAACCGCGGTCGTTCTTTACATGGTTATGTATGGTGACAACGCTCTGAAAGTGTGGCCGTGTCCAATGCTCGACCAGTCAAAGCAACGCTGCTTTCCACAAACTTGTGGACAATACCGCGGCAGATGTGATCATAGATAGCATAAAAAAACTTAGTTTTGAAGGCACGTGCGCAGCCAGTGTACGGGGATCGAAAACGGAACTATAGTTTGCCGCAACCGCCGTGCACAAAAACGCGGTTGCGGCAACGCGATAGCGATCTACGAGCTCCAAGAGCACGTGGCTAAGGCAGCAGCAGATTAAGGGCAATAAAGAAAAAAAAAAAGGCTAGAAGCGTTTTGGCGTTCCTCTCCAAAAAATCAGGTAGTGAGCTTTGGCCTGCACTTTCGCGGTAGCCAGCTACACCGGTCCGGTTCGTTTACATGTGTGCCAGGAAGACATTCGCAAGTGTTTTTGACGGAACTAGATTTTGCTAGTTGTTTTGATGATGCAAAATTTCGGAAGTATTTGCGCTCCCCTTTTGAGAGACTCACCTTAGTGGGAAACCTACCTTGTGAGTTCGGCCACTCCAAGCCATCATAAGACCTCGATGCTGATGTTGGCATGTGCAATTAGAACCCTACCCCCCCCCCCCCCTCCTCTTTTTTTTCCGTGGTGTTTTTTTTTTTTTTTTTGTTCTGGTGCCCGAAAAAACGGTAAAAAATAATTCACCTTGTCGACCCCCCCCCCCCCCTTTCCTGCTGAAATTCAGAATCCTTCAACTTGGCAGGTATGCTGTTTGCGGTTACGAAAAGGGCACAGAACATGTCTGTGTACATTGCAAGGTATATGATTTTTTTGTTTTTATTCTTTGTAGAAACTGAACATCCGATGTGTGCTGAGCATGTACAGTGCTCATAGAATGAAATGCTACATAAAAACATTTATTGTCACATTTTTATGAATCGGGCCACTCAATGTGATGTTGCTGGTGTGAGTCGAATTTAGCCCAATATGACACAAATTGAAGACTGTGTAAACAAAAAAGCATGCTGTGCTATGGAAGGAATGAAGTGCCAGTGTTCATGAACATGTGGAGCGACACAGACAAGCGCCTATACTTCTTGTGTTTGTCTTGGTGGTGCTTTGTTCCTTCTGTAACATGTCCCAACAAGCCTAGCAAAAGGTTCTGCATAAAAGGACAACGTTGCTGATATGCTCAAACGAGATGTTATCCGGCCTTCGTCCAGCTCGTGGTCATCACCTGCGGTGCTAGTCCGAAAGAAGGATGGTTCGGTGCGATTCTGCGTCGATTATCGAGCACTTAATAAGATCATGCACAAAGACGTCTACCTGATGCCACGAGTCGACGACGCACTTGACTCTCTGCAAGGTGCTGAATTTTTCTCCAGCCTTGATTTACGGTCTGGTTATTGGCAAATACCTATGCACGAAGCGGACAAAGAAAAAACTGCCTTTGCAACACCAGACGGGCTGTACGAATTCAACGTCATGCCTTTCGGTTTATGTAACGCTCCTGCCACGTTTGAACGCATGATGGACACAGTTCTACGCGGCCTAAAATGGAAAACATGTCTCTGTTGTCTAGATGACATCGTCATTTTCTTCTCTTCTTTTCGTCAGCATCTTGATCGTTTGGACGAAGTTTTGACGTGTATTTCCAGTGCTGGACTTTAGCTAAACACAAAAAAATGCCATTTCCCCAACAAGAACATCAAGGTGTTGGGCCACCTAGTCAGCAAAGAGGGCGTTCGTCCGGATCCTGACAAGCTTGCTGCCGTGATACGCTTCCCTCGGCCAGAAAATCAGAAACACCTACGAAGTTTCCTGGGCCTGGCATTCTACTTCCGCCGCTTCATTAGTCATTTCGCTGCCATCGCGTCGCCACTGCACAAGCTGCTGACATTCGGATCAACTTTAGCTTGGAACGACGACTGCGAGCGTGCCTTTCAAGCACTCAAAAATTCTTTAACGTCTGACCCTGTTCTGTGCCATTTCGACGAGAACGCACCTACATGTCTGCACACCGACGCGAGCGGCCATGGCATTGGTGCAGTTCTTCTACAGCGGAATGCCACTTCATGGGAAAGAGTTATAGCGTATGCTAGTCGTGCTCTTACGGCTGCTGAACAGAACTACTCCATAACTGAGCAGGAGTGCCTCGCTGTCGTTTGGGCCATACAAAAATTTCGACCGTATCTTTACGGACGCCACTTCACAGTGATTACAGACCACCACACCTTGTGCTAGCTATCGACACTGAGAAACTTGTCTGGTCGCCTCGGTTGTTGGGTGCTCCGCCTGCAAGAGTACGATTTTGACGTCATCTATAAGTCTGGCAAAAGACACCAAGATGCAGATTCTCTCTCTCGCTGCCCCCTTCCACTGTGATCATCAAGCTGTCATCATCAAGCTGTCATCATCAGCTGATTGCTCGTCTGGTGGGCAAGGCACTGCGTCACCCCTCACATTATCACACCTTGCGGTTATCGAAACGCCGGCTTCAAATCACTACACCGAGTTCGCCACACGCCAGCGTGATGATCCATATTGCAATCGCATCATCCAACGCCTAAATGGCATATCACCTACTCCTAATTCTCGATTGCGCCGACAACTACGGCAATTTAAGCTCGATAACAATCTGCTCCATCGTTGCGTTTACACTACTGATGGACACCGCTGGGTTCCAGTACTTCCGCGTTCTCTACGTCAAGTCCTCGAAGCCTTTCACGACGACCCATGTGCAGGCCACTTGGGATTTCACAAAACACAAAGCCGCATCAGAAACTGTTTTTTCTGGCCGGGCATCTCTACCTTTGTGACCAAGTACGTTGCATCTTGCCATCTGTGTCAACGGCGGAAGCGACCAACTTCGTCTCCTGCTGGCCTTCTGCAACCTATCCTGTGTCCCGAGACTCCTTTTGCCATCGTTGGCATAGACCTACTCGGACCTCTCCCCATCACGCCAGCAGGTAATCGTTGGATTGTGACTGCTGTCGACCACATGATAAGGTACGCAGAGACTGCTGCACTACGCACAAGTTCTGCTTCAGACGTCGCAGACTTCTTTTTCAATGCCATTGTATTGCGTCACGGTGCACCTCGCGTTCTCCTGAGTGATGGCGGCAAGACGTTCCTGTCCACCATATTCGAAACCCTGCTCACAACCTGTGGCACAGTGCATAAGACGACGTCAGCCTACCACCCCCAAACTAATGGGCTGACAGAGAGATTTCGTCGGACACTAACAGACATGCTGTCGATGTACATCGCACCAAACCACGACAACTGAGATACCATTTTGCCTTTTGTGATGTTTGCCCATAACACCGCTGTTCAAAGAACTATTGGCTACTCACCTTTCTACCTCGTGTACGGCCGTTCACCGACATTCACTATCGACGTCTTTTTCCTAAATGTGCCAACCGACGCCTCGGCAACCGTATCAGAGCAGTTCATCACAAGGCTCGAAGAATGGCGGCGACGGGCTCGCCTTAATACAGAAGCCAATCAGCAAGACCGCAAACAACGCTACGACAGCTCTCATCGCGACGTCTCCTTCAGTCCGGGGGATGAAGTGTTGCTTTGGACGCCCATTCGTACTCCAGGTTTGCGTGACAAGTTTCAGTCACGCTTCATTGGGCCCTATACAATTAATGAACAAACGTCCCCAGTGAACTATCCTGTCACTCCCACCGACCTTTCTTCGGATCGTCGCTGTCGTGGTTCGGAGATTGTCCACGTATCACGTCTGAAGCCATTCGTTCGACGTTCCGTTTCCGTCTAAGACGCGTCCGGGCTGGCCGCTCACGCGTGGGGGGAAAATAAGTGTGAGCATAATTCATACGCGTCATCTTATCATATGTACTCGGCTGCTGACCCGCAGAACGCAGGTTCGAATCCCGGCTGCGGCGGCTGCATTTCCGATGGAGGCGGAAATGTCGTAGGCCCGTGTGCTCAGATTTGGGTGCACGTTAACCCCAGGCGGTCAAAATTTCCGGAGCCCTCCACTACGGCGTCTCTCATAATCATATGGTGGTTTTGGGACGTTAAACCCCACAAATCATCATCAATCATCATCATTAAATATTCATAGAAAGTCTGAAAGTGGGCAGAGCAGTGATGTGATCGCTGCACCGATTGCACCAAACTGTGCCAAGAAGTTAAACTTGGTACATTCTGCTATATTTTAACAGAAATCGCTTAATTTGCACTGAGCGTACTCTAAGAAGCAATTATTATGGTGATATAATGAACCCACATAATGAACCTCGAATAATGAACCCAGATATAATGAAATGTCAGTTATAGCGAAGTAAAATAAAAACAGTCTTGCAACACATATAATTTTAATGATAAACCTTTTCAGTGAATTTTTTTATATAAAAAACTTATTTTTTTCTAAGATGCAACGTTGTTATAATAAGGTTTGAGTGTAAGTTGGAGCATGTCATTGGAGCATGTCATTGGAGCATGTCATTGGAGCTAACAGCCGAGAGGTATGTAGTTATAAAAATATCGCTCGCGGCCCAGTAACTGCGTCTTCAACAGAATGTTTTTTAGTTGAGCTAATGGGAATGACCAAATAAATGAAGGTTGCCTCCTAATTCTTGATTGAGCTTGCAATAATGTTCATGCCTCACCACAAGTTGTGCTGTTACTGACCATTGTGCCTAGCTGCAAAGACATGCACACAGTGTCTCGTAAATGGTGATTTCTACTCTGAAGCGTGTGCCCTGTCAAACTTTTGATTAGTGCAAATAGATGGCAACACGTGTTATTATGTAAGCTGGCAGGTTCTTCGAAAGCTTTATGTACTGACCCAAACGACGACACCGAGGAGGGTGGAGGTGGAAGCCAAAGGTGCCATGTAGTATTGTGGCAAGCACACAGGCTAAATAATTGCTTTCATCTGATAAATGTATAAAGTGGGGAGGGGGAGAATGTGAGACTAACATACTGTGTGCAAACTATCCCTACTACAAAATTATACTGTCAAGTCAGGTAAATACAGTTACTGAATGCTGTGGAGTAAAAAAAAAAAAATCTATTAAAGGGGCCTTGCAACACTTTTTGTGCATGGTAAGAAAATACTGCCGATCCGTAGTAGAGCCTCCCGACAACACGCGAGCCAAATATTATAGCGCAATATGCGGCCTGGAATTCACAATAAATTATCAGTCAGCTAAAAATTGCTTTCTCTTCTCTCGACAAATCACGAAATATGCCCGAAAATCACGCGTGGAAAGCCCATCTACCAGCCATTAACTGATTTGAACATGCTGCGCTCGCTCGTTACAGAGATCGCCGCAGAAGGCTTCTACATGTCCATGCGTGTGCACGCGATCACACTGAAAAAGCCGCACATTCGAAGAAAAAAAAAAGATAAGAGTGCTCAAGGTCACAAGGCATGCGTGATGGTTTTCTGTGGCCCTGCCATCCTTTCCTGCTTAGCTTCCAGTGCTTTCATTGGGACGAGAGAAGAGAGAATACAGTTTCAGCACGCGACAAACCTTTTTAACTCTACTCGCCCTGGACGGATTCTTATAATTTTTTGCGGCATTGAATTCATGACGCAATAAGCTCCTCCAGTGAACTCCTTCCATGGTTACTTGAAAAATTGTTTCAGGACCCCTTTAAGCTTTAAGATGGCAAGTTCTTCCGAGTCTTTTATTTAGAGATTGATTGCATTAATTATAGTTAGAATTGCATTATATAATTAGAACCCTTTGTTTTATAGTCAGGTTATTTTACCAAAAAATTGCAGTGTCATTCCTTATGACTTCATTCATTATGATTTCATACAGGGCACTCCAGTTACTGTACATTGCCAGGATTTATCAACAATTCCAGCCGTTGCAGTGGTGTGTTGGGAAAGCATGGTGATGCACTATCGTGGTCTGTTGGTGCCGATTCTCAACTTCACCAAAAGTTACAAGTCTGCGAACCTCTCTAAATAAAATGCGAAGCCTTTCATGCTCACTAATTTTGTTTAGTGCAGCGTTGGAGTTAAGCACAATATACCAATTATTTATTAAGCCAAATATGTTAGTAACAGCCAGTGAACCAAAAGCCTAAAAAGCCTATGTAATGCAACAGCACGTGCTTCACCACTCACCTTGAATGTCTAGGTTGTACTGAAAGCACAGACATCATCACACTAGTGCTTTTCAGTAATAAAATGACTATGGTGGAAAAATTTGTGCTGCCTATGGCTTCAGGAAAAATTTCACTAAATAACGAAAAATAATTGTATTGGGGAGAATTGTCGGGCACCCTGATGTCATCAATAGTATATAGAAGTTAGACTGTTCACTCAAAAGTAGGGCGCTGCGGGTTTATTTCACTTTTGGGGACCTTATAATATAGCTAGACATGTATGCGTGCATATACAGCATACTATCAGTAAACGAAAAACTGTTAAATGGTTGCTTTAAATGCAAGAACTGTCTCTTATATGATTGTTTTACTACTCTTATTCTGCACCCCTGCTCATACCTCAGTAAAAAAAGCTCCTGGTAAATAGAACATATTTTCCTGGTCCCTTCAGGTTCCATTTAACGAGTGTTGACTGTAGTATTTACTTTGTTAAACATAGTAAAACTACTCCCACTTACCTAAAAAGTTGTGCTTGAAAATGTGTGACAAGCAACTGCTCCAAAAGGCTGACCTGCTGCTCTAGATTGCGGTTTTAGCTGCTCTGGATGCTGTGCCAAATCAGCTTCAGCTCATTTGGCGAGGCCTGTGTACTATGTGATGTCAGTGCACGCTAAAGAACACCACATGTGTGATCCAAATTTCCAGAGCCTTCCACTATGACATCACTCATAATCATATCATGGGTTTGGGGCGTTAAACTCCTCATATCAATGTTATACTGTTTGAATGTCTCTGGAACATCCAGAACAGAAGGCTGTTACCAGAATTTGCAGTATGGATATGTAGTGAGGATGTCTTAACCTCTCTGCTAAGTCGTTGCATCTAAAATCTTCATTTAATGTGATGCCACGTTAAGTGTGTGGCCCTCCAAATTCTTCCTGGTTCACCATCACAGTTTGTTTTGCGTAATGCATGGCTGTTCCTGGTAATTTTCAATAAACGACTATTAGGAACTGAATTTATTGGTCACAACGGACTAAAAAACAAATCTTTTGTACCATCCTCATTTTTGTGTGTGTGTGTGCACAGGGTTCATAGATAATATGAGAAAGAATACAGGCACAACTACTTTTCTTGTCCTTGATGAAGTCCTACTTTTCTTTTTTTTTTCAACTGCTTTAATGCACTTGGCCCAACTTTGCAGGTGGAGAAGATGGGCACAACATCCCTAAAGTGGATAACTACCTTGATGCTGACAACTGGTTTGAACAAAAGGGCCTAGAAAAATTACGAGACCTGTCTCGGGCTGATAAGGCTCGGGCTGATAAGATACTTCCTGGCATGACACGCAGGTTGCTTAGCGATGCCTACATGTGCATGTATGAGAACAAATTTGTCAAGCAGTATGAGTGACGCATACCGGTTAAGCTTCAGGCAACTGCAGTCATGTATAAGAGGCATGTTTGTGTACTGTGAACAGTTGATTTAATATTTCAACTAATAAATGATTTTAGAAATGCTCCTAGCCATCTCATTTCTGAGTCTGGTTTGTCAGTTATCACTGCATGTCATAAAAAACGTACATATAGCGGCACATCCCTGTTATATTAAAAAATCACAGCATATCCACGGAATGAATGATGATGAGGGGGGCGAAGAATTTTATTGGTAAACCGTGGATCATCCATCTGTCTGTCCGCCTGTCTGTCCATCCGTCTCTGTTTGTTCATCCGTCTGTCCGTCCACACTAGACGGTCACATATGAACTAGGAGGGACGGACCAACAGCTTTAGGAGCTTCGCATCTAAAAGCACTGCACTTCGTAACCCAACTATTTTCATGTGTATGCGTCTACGATAACACTGTACATTTAGTTGTTAAAGATGAAAAACACAAAGGCTAACAGCCCAACATGGTGGCACTTAAACCTCTTCTTAAAATAGTCTATAGCAACCTATACAGTCGCCAGCTAGGTTAGAAGCATTGTGCACCGATAGAGAAGAAGTTTACATTTGTTATTGGGCATACATGTAAAAGATTTAAAAGATTTAACCATGGGAGTGTTAGATAGTGTCACTCATGACCGTGGCAGTGGATCTGGAGCATCTTTTTGACCTGATGACGCTGTATAGTGCGTGAAAATTTGTAGCAGGCAGTTTACCAATAAATCCTTATACTCGGCCTGAAGGCGCCATGTATATCAGTTAAGACTCTGGGTGTGCAGTGAATAAGATAAGGAACCAAGGGGCTGGATCTTTGTTGGTCACAGCCATGTAAAGCCAACAGGCAATGGAGCCAATGAAATCCATAGTTTTCATAGAAGTGTAGATATAAGCTAAATGGAAATGAAAGTGGACAAAAGAAAAACTGGTGAAGCATGTGCCTAGCATTAAGCCTCCCAAGCCTTGAAACAGCAAAGCTGGACAACTCTGAAAATTAATCTGGTTGCCTCTATGTTGTTCATAGGCCTAAGTTAAGTGATGGGGGTTGTTTCTAGGGTTCTTTTAGGTCATTGTTGGCTTTAGCTAAGTGATGCTGGGTTATTTCTTTGTTGATTCTCACTGCAGAGAGGTTTGACTTAAACCACACACGGTCACAGGTATGACACAGATGTCCAAACTCCAGTGATGGAAACGCTTGCTGAAACCAAGCTTTTGCACCTCTCATAAAGTCACAGATATGACATAGATGTCCAACCAGAGACACTCTTGCTGAAACCAAGTATTCACTTCTCATAAAGTCACAGATACGACACGTATGTCCTACCAGAGACAAACTGTCGATGAAACCAAGTGCTTGCACCTCTCATAAAGTCACAGATATGACAGATGTCCAACCAGAGACAAACTCTTGCTGAAACCAAGCTTTCGCACCTCTCATAAAGTCACAGATAAAACATGGATGTCCAACCATATACAAAATTTCTGAAACCTGCAGTGTACACGTATCCCAAAGAATTAATGCCAATAGCGTGGGTTCGGTCTTAGCGAGCCGCAGGGCACGCGTTAACCATTGCCGTGACGAGAACACGGTACTCAAGGTCGCAACACTTTATTGCATGCGGCAACACCAAAAAAGCAGTACAGAGCTCGTCGCAAAAGGCGCGGCGGGACAGCAAATGGGCTTCTCCATGCTACGGTGCCGTGAACACGTCTTCGTGGGCAAAAGTGATTCACGGGAATACCGGGACAAAAGGGCCCGGTCACTCGAGCGAGGGCAAAAATGAGCTCGCGTTGGCTTCGGAGAGATACAGGTCGGCGTAGTCTGACCATGCACTAGGAAACCGCGCCGCACTTCGGCCTAGCGTTTGCAAGGAGGGGGCAACAAAAGGTAAGTGTTCACTGCAGGTGCAAGGCGTCATTGGCTTAAATCCAAACGAGCCCCAAACAAAGGGGCTGACAGCCAGAAAAGAAATGCATGCTTACCCCATGCCGTCCCGGAGAGGTTTTCTCTTGCTCCCGACGCGCAGCGTTGCCAGGTACACAGAGGGTGAACTGCCAAATTCAGGCTCATTAATAGCCCAGAAGTAGCCAAATGTAATTGATTGAAAATAGCCAAAACTAATGAGGTATGGAAACAACATTGTGCCTATTCGTTTGTGCCAGATTAAAACAAATGAGGCATTTTGTGGAAAGTTACCCATGTGACATGCGTGTCTCTTGCTACTACTCAATGCAAGATTGATTGTGACACAGATAGGAGAAATTGAAGTAAAATTCCGCTTTGCTTACGAGTATTTGTATTTTATTGTTGCTTTTTGCAGGTGATAATCAACTTTATTAAACGTCCAGCGAGTTAAATTGTTTGTCTTCATTGAAGTGAGGCCACAATCTGAGGTTCATCGCACAAGGAAAGGGAGACGAAGGAGTTGTATGAAGGAAACGAATCACTGGATGCAGTCACATTCAACCCTTATGTCGGATTTTATATCAAGCGAAACAAAAGTAAAGCGAGAAGTTATATTCTTTAGAACCAATGGCGATGCATAGAGCTTTGTGATTTCAAGTATATAAATAGCACCTAATAGTTTCTCAAGGCTTTATTTATTTATTTACAGAGTACCTACGTCACCATATAGTCATTATGCAGAGGTGGAGCAAAAAACAATCAGTACGAAAGAATTCAAAGCAAAATACATAAACACACATACAAAAACCACTGTCACATTTATCAGAACATAATATAACATATCACAAAATAGATTATCATACAAACAGAGCATACATAATGCAAGAACAATTTCACAGCATAGAAAAAAATTGATCAATATTTGTTACATTCACTAAGTTATATGAAATAATTTGCATGTGCTTTCCATTACACATTCTTTTTAGTATACAAACTTATTTAGCATGAGAATGAATTACACAGGAGCCTCGCCAGACCAGCTGGGGAAGCATCGCTTTGAAAAGAAATGTGTGAATTCGTTATTACTGACATGCACTACTGTCGGTAGAAGGCTGCTGATTGCTAAATAAGGCAAAGTTACAGGGACATGATAATAGAAAGAGACAACTATACACATAAACACTTAATTCACAATGATTATTAGGCACAACAACAAATCAGAAGGAGAAAAAGCAGTGGAAAATAAGCATTCGAAGTCAAGACAGATAATAGCCCAAAAGTAGCCAAATAGCCAACAACCGAATATCCCACCAACTCCACAAATATGTAGCCCAATTTGACTATTTATAGCCCAACCTGGCAACATTGCCGACGCGCTCGCACGAAACATCCTGAGAGACTCCGCGCACGACGCCACAGTCAACATCTGCTACCGGGTGAAAGGGGTTATAATACTCACTCCCGCTCGCGCCTTTGCCTCCCACTCCCCCAGCACGACAGACCGCGGAGGAGAGGAGAGTCATGTCAGGACATGAGAACGGTCGCTCGCTGGATTTCGTGCGGCCGGTTGTGCCCCCGCGATCTCTGAGGACAGCGCAGCTCTGGCTGACTGGCTCGCCCTACACCATCTCCTGACGCCGACAAGAGCTCTCGCTGAGTGGTGCCCCGTCCTCGGACTCTTGAGAACAAGTGACTGTCCCTGCCCCTCTCTCTATTTCTACTCCTTTTCATCCTCCCTATCCTGTTAATCTCTCCTTACCCCCATCCCTCGTGAGCTACTGTTGAGGTGTCCTCATCCTGAAAGACAGTTATGAGGCTCACTTTTATATTCTTTTCATTTAAGAATCATTATCACCCCCCCCCCCACCAGAAAGAGGCGGCAAAGCCCGCAGAGAGGCAGCGGGCTAGCCTCAATTTCTACATCCCCCTCTTCTAAATTTGCCCTTTGCCGGTCTGCAAAGGCAGCCGGACACCACCCACGCAGTTAAAATGACACTGCTATGAACAACAGTTAACCTCAGTCCAGCCCCAAACTGCTGCTAAAAAAATGATGACAAAGGATAACTACTATAATAGCAAAAATAAACACATGACACTATAACATGTTTACAAAAGAAAAAAAAGAGCAAAGAAAGTAAGGCTAGAGTTCGTGGTGCTGAGACGGGATAGCGTTCACCACGTGGAGGGTGGAGGCGGCAGAGTGTGATATTGTCTGCTAGGCGCAATGACCGTGTGCGAGGTCAGAGGCACGGAAGGGGCTCACTGATGGCTCGTGGCTGCTCTTGATGATTGGTCAGCGTGTCCGACGAACGTCGCTGTGGTGGTGGTTCGAAGGCCCCGCATTTGTCGATGGATGATGGGGGAACCGCGCTGGGAAGCTGGAGCTCTCCAGGGATCAGGGAGGCCGAACCGAAATCGGCTGCCGGGCGTCCTGGCGTTGGCAGGCAGCATATAGCTGCTGTCAGCGGGCCTCGTGCAGGAGTCAAGGCGGAAGGGTGTAGCAGGGTTCCTCGGCGACAGACGAAAGCAGGGCACAGCCGGACTGTCTGACGTCAGCAGGTCAGGGCCCCAAGCACCTCTAGTGTCCACGTCAATGGGTCAAAACCACGACGCGCACTTTCACTGGCACGGAAGCGTCACGCACATACACACGCACATAAGCACGCATACACACACAGCCGACGGTGGGTGGTGGTAGTGGTTAGAAGAGGAAGAATGCACCTGCAGCCCGGTGGGGAGCACGGCGCAGTGCCTCCGCCAATGGCTGCGTAAGCAAAGGTGCAAAACGTCCTTTCTCTCTCTCTCCATGCATAATGTTCATAACTCCTTTCGCCCGTAGACAAAATACAGCACAAAGAGTGTTAAACAAAGCATGAATCACACTCAATATCTGGCCAAAAAAATTTAAACATAAAATACAAATGAACACTTAATACCAGACAAAAAAAAAACATAAAATATACATGAACGCTTAAAAAAAGAAACCTTGGCAGAAAAGTGGGCGGCATCGACTTCTTCACGAGAAAAGGGCGTAAAGAAGCCAACCATACTGAGGCTAGACAGCAAACTGAGGGCCTTCGGTTGTGGAAAATGTCCGCCGTCCAGTGCGAAATCACAAAGGTGACCGCTTCCTCAGATTATACCGTTGTGGGTTTCGAATGCAGTCTGCCGCCCCGG